ATTTTGACATAACAATGGTGTTTACTGTTTATTGACTCAGGCATGGGAGCTATGGAAAAAAGGAAATGCATTGGAGTTAAAGGATCCAATACTAGGTGATTCTTGTGCAGAGCATGAAGTGTTAAGAACCATTCATGTTGGTCTTTTATGTGTTCAAGAAAGTGCGACAGATCGGCCAACCATGTCCCAAGTTCTCTCTTTGCTTAGCAATGAAACCACGGCTTTGCCTGCTCCCAAAATGCCTGCATTTTTCACTGGAAGGGATGTGCCCGAATCAACTTCACATCAATTTTACCCTGCAAGTTATTCGTTCGTTTCTGAAACCGAAGCTTGATAGGAGATCTGAGGGGCAATGAATTTAAGTGAGAAATTGAAAAAGAAAAGTGAACTGGGACGGATTGGGACCAAGAATTCAGTCATTTGACAACTGCTGTGATTTCTTTTTCTTCCTGTGTACTGTTGTATGACATAGTGTATATTCGCAACTGCTGTGATTTCTTTTTCTTCCTGTGTATTGTTGTATAACATAGTGTATATTCGCAATATTATTCCATAAAAAAGAATTAGTGAATACAATGTGTGTCACGATCCTAACCTATAAGGCACGTTTTACACCCTTTATTATCTGTAATTTTTATCAGGGTACAGATCCCTTATTTTCTTGGAGGATTCACGTAAGTGAGACTAGTATAAGACCGTGACTATGAATGTTCTGTAAATGGTTTGTCTATTTCTGAAATATCTATACTATAAAGAGATGTATCCTACAATTAAGTAGAAGCCTCCAAATTCACATTCCTAATTTTCTAAGTGACACTCTATTATTGGTTTTGAGTCCTTCTCATGTTTCAAATTTTGATTCTGAATTCAGCTGGTCATATTATTATTATTAAATAATCATTTACATTCGACCGTATATCGCACGAGGTTGTCACTAGTGTTATTATCTATTGAAATGGGATCGGCTATACATAATTGGGACTCTATCAAACACATGGGAATGATCTACTCTGGAGAGAAATTGAAAAATAAAATAAGAGAATTTGGATTCCATAATTCTTTCATGGGCTTCAGTCATTTGGAAATTGTTTTTGAGAATTTTTAATTTTTTTCATGTTACTTTATGACATAGGACAATGTTATTTAGATTTAAAAATCTAACTTAATTTATTAATCTAATGAAATAGTTTCATTATAACTATTAGACTAACACTAAATTCTAATATTTGATGGAACTCACAGTCAATCCAATGATGCGTGTTTGCCTGTCAATGATTTGAAAATTTGGATCATATTTGTACTATTCAGATTCAATTGAATCCGATTTTAAAATTTTAATCTGATTTTTCAATGATTTATTTTCATTATTTATATTCGATTCGTTAAAGATTAGATATTGATTCCAATATACGATCTGTTTCAATTAACTTAATTAGAGTTGATTTTGATAAATTACACATAAATTTCAACTTCATTTGATATAATAATCCCTAATAAACATAATATATATATATATATATATATATATATATATATATATATATTTGTGAGGTTGAAATCAAATTCATAAAGTATGATATGATGGACTCAAATTTGAATTGGGATAATCGGTTGAAATATTGATTCATATCCAACTAATTAAATTCAAATGCTGATCGAATGATAGATCCATTTGCATATTTGTCAACATGGTATTTGTGAATTTTAATTTGGTTTGAATAATAAACGTGGAAAAACCAAGCAACCTTGAAATTTCAGCCTAAAATTCTTCAATTTTCCAATACAGTTGATATCCCTCCGCAATAAGATACATTTCAGATAATGCAATGATCAGCTCATCAAATACAACGGGACTGAATTTGGAGCTTTGCAATGGACTAAAGCGTATTGAAAACCAAGGAACAAGCTCGCTGGGGTTTGCGCGTCTTGTGTAGAGTTTCTTTGAGGTCTTTCATCAAACACCTTGCGTTGGTTACCAAATTTGGCATTGGTCAGGTTGGTCAAAAAATTGGGCAGTTTCAATTGGTGCTTGGTTTCGACCCAAACTATGTACATTTGCTTTGATCATCTTCTTTTCGATAGTTTCGATCGGAAAGTTTTCGATTTCGACCAAAATGTTAACGTTCAAAAATAATGTTTTTTATTTTGTATCATTGTCATTCAATCCTAAAGGGACTCTGGAAGGGATAGTCTATTACATATTCGAGGAATTGTCATTACATGGTCAAGTTGGTCAAAAAAATTTGATGGTTACTGATTAATTTGATGAATGATATTTGTGAATGAAATAAGTGGATTTGGATAGTGATTGCTATGACTATCTTCCTAGGTTTGCTTACACCGAGCGCCTTGTGCTATGTGAGAATGAGAAAGCGCAGATTAGAAGGAAAATGTCCTACAATGAATGCATCAGTTAGCTGCAAAAAATTAATATTCCTATTTCTTTTTAGTAGACATGAAAATTCAGAGTGGGAACTAATAGTACTGCATGTAGGGGGGGAGAAAAATATAAGCGAAAAGAGTATTTACTTGCGTTGAGAGCTTCAAGCAGCTTTAACAATGTGGATGATCTGTTAAACAACGGGAGGGACAGACATCATTTGAATATTTTCAGCTTTGCCTCCATTGCGACTTCCCCTAATAACTTTTCACATGAAAACAAGCTTGGAGAGGGTGGATTTGGACCAGTTTACAAGGTAAACTGCCAACCCTGTTGCATAGAAATTGACCAGTGGTTTTGTTTTTTTCGGTATAAGCAAGAACTGACAATTGTTTTTTTCAGTATAAGCAAGAACTGACATTTGTTTTTTTTTCAGTATAAGCAAGAACTGACAATTGTTTAATAGGGACAATTACCTGAGGGGCGAGATATAGCAGTCAAAAAGACTGTCCAGAACATCAGAGCAAGGTCTTGTGGAGTTCAAGAATGAGCTCATACTCATAGCCAAACTCCAGCATACTAAACTTGTAAGGGCTCTTGGATGCTGCTTACATGGAGAAGAAAAGATGTTAATTTATGAGTACATGCCCAACAAGGGCCTGTACTTCTTCCTATTTGGTATGCAACACCCCTACCCTTATCTAGTTTCAATTGATCAAATTTATTAAGACATCTTATCATATAACTGTTGGGATTTCACACGATTTAAATCCACTAACAAACACACACAATCGAAGAACAAATCAAGAATATAAAGTAATAAGAAACAAGAAAGAACAAGACACAGATTTTACGTGGTTCGGTAATTTGCCTACGTCTACGAAGCTGCAGGGATTTCACTATTGAGAGAGTTGAATACAGAGAGCGGCTGTACAATCCACGATTTTAACCCTAATCACCAAAACAACAGGGTTTATATGTCCTACGCACTGGACTGTATAACGGGCCCAATAAAATTTTCCTCGGGGGCGTTGCCCCCGAACCCCCACGAGGCTTGTCCATGAGCGCTAGACCCAAGCCTTCGCTCCATGAACTAAGCCTCAGAAAATTTTTCATTAAAAACCACACAACATTACTTCGGGTCGGGTCATCATCCTGGATCACATATGCAAATTAGACTCCATAAAAAAAACCAACAATAACACTCTTAAAGCATTTCCTTTTTTTTGCCTGAGACAGATCTATCTAAAAGGAAGCTACTAGATTGGCAAAAAAGATTCAATATCATCAAAGGGGTCGCTCAAGGATTGCTTTACCTTCATAAACATTCAAGAAAGCTAATAATACATAGAGATTTAAAAGCCCATGACGTATTGTTAGATGACAATATGAATCCCAACATTGCTGATTTTTGCATGGTAAGAATTTTGAAGCCCAATGTAACAGAAGCAATGATTAATAGGGTTGTTCGGAAGTAGTAAGCAAAATCATTTTTTTGTGAGTTTAAAATATTGTTTATGCAAACCCTAATATAGTAAGGAAGTTTGCTTTGATCATTGTGTACATCGGTTACATGTCACCCGAGTATGCCACGGAGATACTTTCTTAGTAAAGTCTAATGTCTTCAGTTTTGGCGTTTTAATCCTGGAAATTGTGAGCGACCGGAGAAATACCACCTTCTATCATCTTGATCATCCACTCAACCTCATCAGATTCGTACGTTTGTTTTATTAAAATCACATTTACTTCATTTTCTAAACCATCTTGTTTGTTATATACATCTAGAAATAGAGGATATATTTCATCATGTGGACATATATGACAATGATAATTTATTGACACAGGCATGGAAGCTATGGAAAGGAGGAGATGCATTGGAGTTAAAGGATCCAGTACTAGGTGATTTGTGTGCAACACATGAAGTGTTAAGAACCATTCATGTGGGTCTGTTATGTGTACAAGAAAGTGCAATGCATAGGCCACCCATGTCAGATGTTATTTCAATGCTTAGTATTGAATCTGTACTTTTACCTGCTCCAAAGCAGCCGGCATTTTTCACTGGAATAAGTGCACCTGAGTCAACTTTATCGGAAACCAAGTCAAGGGAATGCTCTGTAAACAACTTGACCATTACTGTAATGGAGGCACGATATGAAAATGAATTCTTTCTTGTGCTGTTTTTATTTGATAGTGAGCTGGAAAATCTGTAACAACTTAACCATTACTTTAATTTTTTTTGTAAACAGTAAATGTTGTAGAATTTTAACAAAGCAAAGTATTCCCGTGTGTGTTCTAACATAGTTTCTTTTGCAGATATATTGTTCTTCATAATGGTTTCTTTTAATTTATTATTCTTGTTATCTCACCTAAAAATGGTCAAGAAAGCCGGCAGAATAGCTGACACATACTGATTGTCCTCTGCTTTATTTTACTCTATCTCACTGTTGACATTTTCCTTTTTCAATGGAAGCACCACATGACCATTTCATTTTAAACTATCTCCTACACCATAAGTCAATGGTGTGGGTTGCTTTGCCAGCAATATACCTTTCAGCAGCTTAATAAAGAATTAGCTTATGTTTACATGATGAAACAGAGCAAGTTACAGAGACAAGTTCTTATGGCTACCAGGGAGAAGGGCTTAATCAATCCCATTTTCATGCTTATCTTGGCATTCTTATGCAGCCATGCACTATATTCCTCTTCTGTGGCATCAACAAACACAGTCAGAATTGGTGATGAAGTCAACGCAACTTCGAATCTTGTCTCTGAAAATGGCAACTTTACTTTAGGATTATTCACTGTGTCAAGTCCAAATTCCAGTTACTTTGGCATATGGTACACAAATGATGTACAACGGAGGAAAGTATGGGTTGCCAATCCAAACTCACCTATCACCAGCAGTTCTGGAGTCCTCACAATCGATAGCACTGGAACATTGAAAATCACCAGCGGAGGCAACACTATTATGCTTCTTTCTGCTCAAAATGGGACAGCCAATGCAACAGCTACACTAGAAGACTCGGGTAACTTTGTCCTGATTGATGGAGTTCAAAGGACTTTGTGGCAAAGCTTTGATCATCCTACCAACACCCTTTTGCCCGGTATGAAACTTGGTTATAATCTCACGTCCGGACAAAATTGGACGCTTACTTCTTGGCTTAGTGATTATATCCCTGCCTCCGGGGCTTTCACTTTAACCTTAGAATCCGACGGAGAGTCAGCACAGTTGGTCATTCATCAGCGAGGAGAACTTTACTGGACTAGTGGACCTTGGTCCAATCATAATTTCATGTACACGTCTGAATTGATTAGCCCTTTAAATACGTACCAGTACAACCTCCACCTCTTCTCCAGTGGTGATTGGAAGTATTTCACTTATGATGCTGTTGATGCAAGTTTAGGGATATTGGAATTGTCTTCAAATGGGCAGATTCTTGATGGTGCTAATAATCTTGCCGTTAGCGATTATGACTTTTGTTATGGATTGGGTTTGGGTGGGTGTGTGAATAAAGTGTTACCCGGCTGCCGGAGCCAAAGGAATTGGTTCCAGGAAATGAGTGCAAATTTTCCGGGCGCACTTAGTAGCTATGATTTCAATTCAAGCCTAAGTCTAAGTGATTGTATGGAAAGGTGCTGGAATGATTGCAATTGTGTCGGTTTTGCCAACGCAAACAATGGAACAGGCTGCATATTGTGGAGCGGAAACATTGAGTTTCAAATAGATAATCGTGGTGACGCTTTGAAGTATGTGCTGGCTCCAGGAAAACCCTCCAAAGGTAAGTCATCTTCACCACATATCTATTTTAAGCCTATATTAAATTGCCTGGTGACATCCCTTTTAGCCCATAAAGACAAATCTAAAACTCAGCCAAAAAGATTTGGGTTTTAAGGAGAACCAGTGGATTTGTGATTATTAATTTTAAGAACTGGGGGTTACATGGCATTTAGATTTAGTAAAATGTAGATACATAACAAATGATTTATTAAAATTTGGACAAATCAATGGTAAGTGATTGATGAATGATATTTGTGCAGGAAAAACATGGATATGGGCAGTGGTTGCTATAGCTATCTTCCTATGTTTGCTTACATTGGGAGCCCTGTGGTATAAGAGAATCAAAAAGAGTAGAATAGAAGGTAAATATCTACAATGATGCATTAGTTGGCTTGAAAAAATTAGTAAGCCTAGTCTTGCATGCAGGTGAGGAGAGAAAAAGGCGAAAGGAGAATTTACTCGCATTGACTGCTTCAGACAGCTTAAACCATGTCAATGATGTTGAGAACAATGGGAGGAAAGGGCACGATTTGAACACATTCAGCTTTGCTTCAATTGCAGCAGCCACAAATAACTTCGCGGATGAAAATAAGCTTGGAGAGGGTGGTTTTGGACCTGTTTACAAGGTAAAGTGCAATCCATGTTCGATTGAAAATTATCAGATTCAGTTCAGTATCAAACACTGTGCCGGGTGAAGGTCAGATGTAATGGCTACCCTTTGCACTTTGTCCAGTATACGCAATGACCTACAACTTTTAATAGGGACAATTACCTGAGGGCCACGAAATAGCAGTCAAAAGACTTTCAAGAACATCAGGGCAAGGGCTTGTGGAGTTCAAGAATGAACTTATACTTATAGCGAAACTCCAGCATACTAATCTTGTTCGGGTTCTGGGATGCTGCGTACATGAAGAAGAAAAGATGTTGATCTATGAATACATGCCCAACAAGGGCCTGGACTTCTTCCTATTTGGTATGCAACATTCCCATCCTGATCTAGTATCAATAGGTCGTTAAAGCCTTTTATTGATAACACTCTTAACTCATTTCCTGTTCTTCCCCCGAGACAGATTCAGCTAAAAGGGGGCTACTAGACTGGTCAAAACGATTCAATATCATCGAAGGTGTTGCTCAAGGATTGATTTACCTTCATAAGTACTCGAGAATGCGAGTAATACATAGAGATTTAAAAGCTAGTAACGTATTATTAGATGGAAATATGAAACCCAAGATTGCTGATTTTGGTATGGCAAGAATTTTCAAGCCAAACGAAACAGAAGCAATGACTGACAGGGTTGTTGGAACGTAGTAAGTAGAGTCATTTCTCTATCTATGGTTGTGCTGACTTTGAGAGCCTTTTTTCGGATAAACAGAGAATCGTCTTAATCACGTGTTCTTTGTACTTAATATATTATTTATGACTTAATATATTAAGTTTCTTTCCTCTTGTCATTGTATACAGTGGTTACATGTCACCAGAGTATGCCATGGAGGGGACTTTCTCTGAGAAGTCTGATGTCTTCAGTTTTGGTGTCTTAATCTTGGAAGTTGTGAGCGGGAGGAGAAATACTTCATTCTATCATCTTGACCATCCACTCAACCTCATAGGATATGTAAGTCTGTTTTATTCAAATTTTGGACAATTTGATCCTTAAACTATGACTCCATCGCTACTTTGTTCCATCTGTTATTGAGTTTTTCACATTGCCTACCAGCTACTTGAATTGGTTACATTTTACCTCAAACCAAACTCGTTATTGCAATGATATTTATTGACTCAGACATGGGAACTGTGGAAAGAAGGAGCTGCATTGGAGTTAAAGGATCCAACACTGGGTGATTCTTGTGCAGAGCATGAACTTTTAAGAACCATTCATGTTGGTCTTTTATGTGTTCAAGAAAGTGCAATGGATCGGCCGGCCATGTCGGAAGTCATCTCTTTGCTCAGTAAGGAAACTATGCATTTAGCTCCTCCCAAACAGCCTGCATTTTTCACTGGAAGGAATGTGTTGGAGTTAGCTTCACATGAATGTTCTGTAAATGGTTTGTCCATTTCTACAGCGGACGCTCGATAAGATTTTTCATTTCGATACATTTTCACTCAATTTCTGTTGACAATCAATGGAATGTTATCAATTGAAATGTGATCGGCTATATGTAATTGGGACTCTACTAGTACATGGGTATGATCTACCATAGAGAGAAATTGAGAAAAAGTAAGGAGATTTGGATCTGAGAATTCTTTCATGTGCTTCTGTCATTTGGCAATTGTTTTGAGAATTTTTTATTTTTTGTGTTATTTCATAACATTAGACATATGTATAGAGGGGACACTATCAATTCCTTGGATAATTCATTGCATCATGCATATAGGCAAATGGAATAAATTTGGATCATTTTTTTTTACTAAACCAGGTTCAAATGTAACTTTAAAAACTCTTTATGATTATACAAAGGATTATAGTTTTACAATCTATATCTGAATGCGTTAAAAATTGGATATAAGATCCAAATATACGATTAGATCTACTTAACTCCGTTATATTTTATTCAATTAAAGTTGACATAAATTTCAATTCAATTTTATCCAACAACAACTAATGCGCATAGTATATCTATGTCTGGTTATGTAAAGATAGAATTGAATTACAAGTAAATCCAAATTCAAATCTATAAAGTATGCTTGGATCCGAACTTGGATACTTATTCAAAAAATTAACTTATATCCGACTAATCGGATTCAAATTTGAATGGAATTAAGATTAAATTCAATCCATTGATAAATCTGCATGTATATGTTATTTTAAAAGTTTTTTCTTTTGTTATTCTTCCTCATTTAAAGTGCTATAAAATGAGGAATATGATCAAATCACTTGGAGGTGGCTATGATGGTTAAGGCTTGAAAATTTTAGATATGACACGAAAATTTAAAATGAAATTGATACATAATTTGTGAGTTAAAATTTTTTTTTTAGTGATTTTGAATAAGAAATGTGAAATTGGCAAAAAATCTACACGTGACTTGCATGTGCGACTTAATGTGGGCATTTTAGGAAATTCACATCCTTTTTACTTCTTCTCCTCCTCAACTGTAAACCCAATGGTCATATTTGAAAATATGATAAACCCAATGGTTATATTTGAAAATATGTTAAAACAAGTCAACTCAACTTTCCTTGAGCTGATCTCTTAGGTGGATAACTTGGGGGTCTTTGAGGAGTTCAGACCTATTTTATTGTACAACATCCTCACAAACATATGGGAGGGGATTTGATTGATTTTAAGAAATCCTTTCAAACTCAACCAAAGGGATTTCTATATGGGATTCAATTATAAACCGAATTTAATTTCATATTTGGTAGGTGACATAAATATACATGATGTTCATAGATTTATGTCAAATCATATTACTTAATTTATTAAAACGTCTATTATTAGGTGAATAGAAAATTAATTTTTTAAATAAAATAGTATGTTTGTCTTCAAATCTAATCTTTCACTTTTAAAACCCACCTCCATGAGTTTCATCGGCCCGCATACTTGACTTTTAATGCACTATTCATTGTGGGCTAGGACAGAGCCAAAATATGAATCCCAAATTTAAAAGTTTTAACCAAATATAAAATTAAGTAATGCATCGAACTATTTTTCTTAAACTCCCCGATCAAACCCGATAAACAAACAAACCCAATAACTTTTGCTTTCAAATAATTTCTGCTTTCATTCACATTCACATTGAAACAAAGGAAATGCATTGGGACTAAATTTGGAACTTTCTAATTGTCCAGGGTTAAATTTTTCATCAAATTTCTGCTTTGTGATGGCATTAAAATCCAACACTTAGTCTCAGCCAAACACTCAGAATGTACACAGAAAGCACATAGAGCAGAGAATGGACAGTAAGTAAACACACAGGCAAGGTACACAAAATTTACAGGCAACAGCCAAACCTTTCTTTCTCAATAAAGTATAAGGAACTCAACCTTGGGGTCTGTTTACAAAAACGTGTCAACTCTCTTGTTACAATACAAACCCTAAGCACCCTATTTATAATGTTCAAGGTGGCAGTTACAAGCCCAACCACCTAGGCACATGCCTGTAATTCAAATGTTACTAGAGATCTACTATGATTGGATGACAGATAAGTTATAACTGGTGTCTGCATGCTTGTCTGAATCTAATAGAGATCTCACATATTGTGCGCTTGCCAGAAAATTGCCCAGAATTGTCACCATCTGTAGAGCACATGCCCAACTTCCTCACATATTGTGCATGTGTCAAGAGCCTCAACATCCGAATTATATTACTTTCGTGCCTAACCATAGTCCAGCCCATGGCTCATTATTCAAGCTAGCATTACCCTACAATTCAAGCCACTCGATTTCCTTGCTTGCATGCTTGACTTGTGTCCACATGCCCATGTGCATTTACTGCCTCCCTTAATCATGCATGAGACTTTTGTCATTTTAGCTAAGGTATGGGTGCCTTTAGGCGAGGCTACTCGATGTCAAATACTGCCGATGGCTAAGAAGGTAACACTAACCGAGTACGCGTATTTGGAAATTTGGGGGGTTCACCCTATCCTAAGGTAGGAATTATAATATTTCATTTGTTTACTCGATATTTTGTGAAATTTTTTTTTTATCTAACTCTATCCGATCAAATATATTATTTTTACCCAAATTTCATCCAAAATAATCTAGTAAGAAATCAGGTGAATGCCTATTTTTTAGTTATTAATTTTTAGATCATTTTAAAAATTTAATTAAATAACTTGTATCAATTAATTAACACGATAAACTAATAACACTAAAAAAAATACAATAAATTTGATAATCCATGTACAAGTTAATATATATATAAGAAAGTCATAAATATAAATAAAATATTAGAATTTCTAAATTTTTATATTTTTAATTATTTGGGATTAACACACACATATATATGTATATATTTATGGGTAGGGTACAAAAAGAATACGAAAATTTTATAAGTATTTTTCATTCTTACCCAATTTTTTATAAAATACCAAAAAAAATTCTGTTGGCCAACTCGATTTTTTCGGTAGCCGATCAATAGAGTCAAATAGAATAGGATATGTTCTAAACTTAGGGGTAATAAAAAATTTGAACACTCCTGTTAGAAACCAAGGAACAAGCTCGCTGGAGATGGAGCGTCTTGTGTAGAGTTTCTTTGAGGTCTTTCGTCAAACACCTTGCATTGGTTGCACAATTTGGCATTGGTTAAGTTGGTAAAAAAATTGTGCAGTTTCGATTGTTGCTTAGTTTCGACCCAAACCAAGTACATTTAAAGAATGTGGATTCCTGCTTCCTTGAACCACCTACCTCACCACCAATATTTAATACCCTTTTTTATGCAAAGAAAGACAAAAAGACTCCTTGGGATGATGGATAACTAGTACTTAAATTCTTGTAACATTGACGGATTGGTCAAGCACTAACTTTTTGTTCTGTATCATCTGGAGTATTAGTTGGAGGGTGTTTGAGAAGTTTGGCTGAGCTGATGCATCAATGTACCAATGGAGATAAAGAAAGAAGGGTCTAATTATCCAGTTTTTGAGTTCATCTTTGCATATTCTTGTGTGGGCAGGGATTCAATTCTTTTCCTGTGGCAGCAAAAAGCACAATCAGACTTTGTGGTGTACTCGTCTCCACTAGTCGGCTTGTTTCTGAATGTGGGATGTTCGCATTAGGCTTTTTCACCACTGGGGACGTTATCGAATTACAGTTATTTAGGAATATGGTACACAAATGATGGCCATCAGGACAGAGTGTGGGTGGCAAATCGAACCACACCTATTACAGGCAACTCTGGAGTGGTCAGAATGGATTGCACGTGGAGGTTGATAATCACCAGTGGAGGGACAACTATTGCGAATGTTTCTGACAAAGGCATGGCCAATGCAACAGCTAGACTGGAAGATACAGGCAACTTTGTTCTGACTGATGAAACTGGGAAGCTGACGTTGTGGCAAAGCTTTGATCATCCTACCAATTAACGTGCTTTTGCCTGTTATGAAGCTTGTATATAACATCACAACAGGGCAGAATTGGACACTTACTTCTTGGCTGAGTGACAATGTCTCGGCTTCTAGGGCTTTCACCTTGAGCTGGGAGCCCCACTTAGACTCAGGTTCAGGGCAGCTGGTCATTCACCGCCGTGGAAAGCCTTATTGGACTAGTGGGCTTCTGAATGGCCAAAAATTTGTAAACATGACTACAGCGTGTGATCCTTACTTGCAGGACTATTACAACCTCAGTCACGTATCTGAAATCAACTTTCATGATATGTGAAGTTAAATCACAGAATTTCAAACCCTGGGATTGTGAGGAGATAGTACATTGATTCAAGGGGATATTGAGTGCGCTGAAGAGAACAAGTTACCAGTCTCCTCTTGAGGATTCAGATTGCCAAATTCAAGCACCATCAAATGTTGATGGTGGGTTTGTTGATGGCGTGAGCTAAATGGACTGAGAGACAGAGAGATGATACGACCACTGTCATCGGGCCACGCCTAATGGTCCTGGTTCGCCTAATTGATGTGTGTTTGCATATTCATAGATGCATGCCTCTCCCACTGCCTTTGTTGTGCATACAGAGAGAGAGATGTGGGGGCTTTCTGTTGTGGCTTTCTCTGCCTGCTAGGTGCCCCCCAACCAAAGAGGGGGGGTGTGAGCGTGGACATTGTTGTTGGCTTTAGCTGGTTGGATGGTAGCCGGTGAGGGATAAGGGACGGTGGTCGTAGACCATAGAGAGAGAGAAAGACATTGAGTGTATTTTTGTGTTTTTAAGATGCTTTTTCTATGCCAATTCTTGATAATCTAGATCTACGCTATTGAGTGGCCTAGTCGCAGGTAGGAGGAAATTTCGCTTTCCTTTTTGGTGTTGAAAAAAAATTCATTTGCAATATATATATTTGTTTATGTTTTAACTCTCATAGAACTTTTCAAGAAGGGCGACAGACACACAACGAGTCTTTCTTTCTTTTATTCAAATCTCACCCTTTGACAAATTCCACCTTTACTAGAAGCAACAGATGACCATTCCAGTTTAGACCCTCTCCTACACCATTAGTCAATGGCGTTGGTTGTTTTGCCCTGGTGCCTAGTATGTCTAAGAGCAGTTTATAAGGAATTATATAATGATGTCCAAAAGCCTTGTAAAGCATTAGCCTCAGAGTCATATGATATAGAGATTGTCACACAGACAACCCTTCATGGCTTCAATTTTCATGCTCATCTTGTCCTTCTTATGCAGCCAAGGACTATATTCTTCTTCTGTGGCTGCAACAAGCACAATCAGAGTTGGTGATCAACTCAACTCCACTACGAATCTTGTCTCCGAAAATGGGAACTTCACTTTAGGATTCTTCACTGTGGGACGCCCAAATTCCCAGAATTCCAGTTACTTTGGAGTATGGTACACAAATGATGACCGACAGAGGAAAGTTTGGGTTGCCAATCCAAACTCACCCATTACTAGCAGCTTTGGGGTCCTCGCAATCGACAGCAACGGAACATTGGAAATTACCAGCGAAGGGAGCAGTATTATGATTCTTCATGATCAGAATGGGACAGTTAATGCAACGGCTACACTAGAAGATTCTGGTAACTTTGTCCTGATGGATGCAGCTGATAGGAGGACTCTGTGGCAAAGCTTTGATCATCCTACCAACACCCTTTTGGCCGGTATGAAACTTGGTTATAATCTCACATCTGGGCAAAATTGGACGCTTACTTCTTGGCTAAATAATTATGTCCCGGCGGCTGGCGCATTCAATTTAAGCTTGGAATCCATTGGAGACTCAGCACAGTTGGTCATGCATCGGCGAGGAGAACCTTACTGGACAAGTGGGCCTTGGAATAATGGAAATTTTGAATTCACGGTCACCTTGAATGACACAAGTAATCCGTACCAGTACAACCTCCACTACGTCTCTAATGGTGATGGGAAGTATTTCACTTTTGATGCTACCGACGCCAAGATTAGTATGCTGGAATTGACTTCAAAGGGGGAGATTCTTGATCGTGCTAATAGTCGTTTCGTTAGCCCTGCTGATTTTTGTTATGGATATCAAGCGGATAATGGGTGTGTGAAAACTCAATTGCCCGGGTGCCGGAGCCAAAAGGATAGTTTCCGGGAACTGAGTGCAAATTTTCCGGTCACAACTAGTAGCTATGAAAACAATACAATCTCAAGTCTAAGTGATTGTATGGAAAGGTGCTGGAACGATTGCAGTTGTGTTGGTTTTGCCAACAATAGCAGTGGAACAAGCTGCATAATGTGGAGGGGAAATGATAAATATCAAATAGATGACAGTGGTAATGCTGTCAAGAAGTATGTGCTGGTTTCATCAAAATCCTCCAAAGGTAAGCCTATTTATATCTATACACTGTTTGATACTGCCTTTTATATTAGTACATAACTTCAGAGTAAAAAGCCATTATGGTATAATTATGGGTGGAAAACAACCCCACACGGTCTAGTTGTTGGGGCATATTGCTACACTTTTGAAAAGTTAAAAGGACTAATGTGGAACTTTCTATCTTTGAATGAGCAACGTACAACTTTTAAAAATCTGAGGGGGCAGAGTGCCATTAGCCCTTTTTTATATCTAGATATGAGAGCAATTGGGCAGCATATGAAACAAATTAGGTCAGGACTTAGCTTTTAGTTTATATCATGATATTATTCTGAGGTTTAATGGAAAGAATTTTGGCAATATCATGTTAATCAGTGCATTCCATTTTGATTGGGATGGCTGCACATGCTGTTTTCTGTGACATGTAAAGTATAAACTAACTAAGCCTGTATTAAATTGCCCATTGCACATGCTGTTTTCTTTGGCCATTGAACTGTGATACTTATAAACCTAAGGTAAAATATGGATTACTAAATGGAACCGAAAAGATTTGAGTTTGCAGGAGAACAAATGGATTTGGGATTATTTTTATTAAATCCTTATAGGGTTGTTACAGGGCAATGAGATTTAGCATGATGTTGAAAACTAATGATTCTTTACAATATGTAAAATCTAGCGGTAACTGATTAATTTGATGAATGATATTTGGCAGGAAACAAGTGGATATGGGCAGTGATTGCTATAGCTATCTTCCTAGGCTTGCTTACATTGGGATCTGTGTTGTACTTGAGAATGAGAAAGCATAGAATAGAAGGTAAATATCCTACAATCAGTGCTTTGGTAGGCTTAAAAACACTAATAAGCTATTTCTGTTGGTAGACATTGGAATTGTACTCTGAGAACGAATAGTATTTTGTGCAGGGGAGGAGGAAAAAAGGAGAAAAGAGTATTTACTGGCATTGACAGCTTCAGACAGCTTAAACAATGCAGATGCTTTTGAAAACAATGGAAGGGAAGGGCACGATTTGAATATATTCAGCTTTGCCTCCATTGCAGCAGCCACTAATAACTTCTCGCATCAAAATAAGCTCGGAGAAGGTGGTTTTGGACCTGTTTACAAGGTAAACTGCAAACCCTGTTCAATTGAAATTTATCAGATTTTGTTCAATATCAGACTGTACATTTTACCCCATCAAAGTCTGCAGTGGCGAGAGAGGGTCAGATGTACTGGGCTGCCCTTTAGATTTTGTCAGGTATACGCAATGACCAACAACTTTTTAATAGGGACAATTACCTGAGGGCCGAGAAATAGCAGTCAAAAGACTCTCAAGAACATCAGGTCAAGGGCTTGTGGAGTTCAAGAATGAGCTCATACTCATAACCAAACTCCAGCATACTAACCTTGTTCGGGTTCTTGGATGCTGCTTACATGGAGAAGAAAAGATGTTAATTTATGAGTACATGCCCAACAAGAGCCTCGACTTCTTCCTTTTTGGTGTGCAATATGTCTAGCCCTTACCTAGTTTCAAAAAATTACAATTAGTGAGGGCTGTCATCTGATAACTTACTATTACTCAACGCATTTCCTGTTTTTCTCGGGTGACAGATTCAACTAAAAGGGAGCTCCTAAACTGGGAAATACGAATAAATATCATCGATGGGGTCGCTCAAGGCTTACTTTACCTTCACAAATACTCGAGAATGCGAGTAATACACAGAGATTTAAAAGTCAGTAATATATTACTTGATGACAATATGAACCCCAAGATTTCTGATTTTGGCATGGCAAGAATTTTCAAGCCGAATGAAAAGGAAGCAATGACTAATAGGGTTGTTGGAACATAGTAAGTAAAATAATTTATGAATTTGTGGAAGTAGTAACCTTCACTTCTATAACTGATAATTGTTCCAATCAAGCACTCTCTAAACTTGGGTCACATATTGTTTATACCATGATATACTAAAGAAATTCAATATGATCATTGTATACAGTGGTTATATGTCACCAGAGTATGCCATGGAAGGGACTTTCTCTGTGAAATCTGACGTCTTCAGTTTTGGCGTTTTACTCTTGGAAATTGTGAGTGGAGGGAGAAATACTACCTTCTATCATCTTGACCGTCCACTCAACCTCATAGGATATGTAAGTTTGTTTTCTTTAAATGATACCCTTCACATCCTCAAATTATGACTTTGATCTTATGTTATATCACCTACTAATGAGTTTCTCATATTGCCCACTTATGTATTATAATTGGTCTCATTGTCTCAAAATCAAATTTTTTTGGACATTAGATATTGATGACTCATTAGGGCAAAGTGAAACAAAATCCGTTTGTTTGGAGGTGAATTCACACTTCTTCTCGATCAATCTATAATACATTTTGCAATTACAACAATATGAAGCCAATACTATAGTAGCGGTGCAATATGGAAAACATAATATATAAGGACACAATGTGAGACAGGAGTATATTTGACAAGATCGAAGTATAATTTGTCTTAGAGTAATATTTGCTTCATTTTCTAAACTATGTCTGATAACGTGCATTAGTAAATTTGAGTATAGTCTTAACAGATTCTGATGTACGAATCCCGTTAAACACAATACGAGTCCGTGTATACATGATTATTAATGGGTTGGGTATAGTTGAGCAAATTTCAGCATGTCACAACTGACGTGGACCATATCACTTATATACATTTAGAGACACCAAATATTGCTTTGTACTAATGATATCTATCCGAACCAGGCATGGGAGCTATGGAAAGAAGGAGCTGCATTGGAGTTAAAGGATCCAATACTAGGTGATTCGTGCACAGAACATGAACTGTTGAGAACCATTCATGTTGGTCTTTTATGTGTTCAAGAAAGTGCAACGGACAGACCAACCATGTCAGAAGTCATCTCTTTCCTCGGTAATGAAACTATGCCTTCAGTTGCTCCCAAACAACCTGCATTTTTCACTGGAAAGAATGCGCTCAATTCAGCTTCGCATGAATGTTCTGTCAATGGATAACAATTTTTTAAATTTCATTTAAGTTTTGTAACATTGCGCTTTTAGGATATACAAAATCTCACTTTTCAATTTTCATACATCTTAGTTCTCCATATTTCTCTAGCTATTTTGTTCACTATCCTTATTTTAACAACATGTATGTTACTTGTATTCATGCACACTCTGGGCAACTCATGTCCCAGTTACTTAGAGAGAGAGAGAGTTTGGTTGAGTTATTTACCAGTCTCCTGCAATTTTAAAACAAATTTATTGAAATACGATATTGTTGAACTTATTTTTCAAACTACAATAATTTTTAAAAAGTAGGTTTGTTAACTCCGTTTTTTAACAAAAGCGGAGTCAACAATCCTGCTTCTAATTGACGGTTGGAAAAGTTTATTCATTATTTCAATATGATGTAAAAGATGGTTGTTAAATCCAAAGAATTCACTCTTAAAAGCGAGTTTTTTAACAAAAGCGGAGTAAATAATTTTGTTTTTTAGAAAGTGTTGTAGTTTAGTATATAAGTTCAAATTACTGTATTTTGATAAATTTATTTTAAAATTATCGTAAAATAGTAAATAATTCAAGTTTGGTTTGGGTGGCAACACATCGAATTATAAAGTGTTCGGGCTGTATTCTTTTGAATTCATGATGAATAATATTTGTTTTTAACATGCCTTGTTTAATTAATCGTGTTTGATAATTTATACACCAATCCAATATACTTATTAATTGTGACGTGCTCGAATTGACACATTTAACCTGTGAACTAAAAAATTCACAATAGTATATCTTTATCTTTAAACTAAACCAACCACTGGTAGATTTTTCATAAATTAAAATTCCACTTCGTCTAGATGCTTTCAAAACCGAGGAACAAATTCCTGAATAGCATAAAACAAATTTATATAATAAAATATAGCATAAAAAATAATTTTTACTTTTCACGATTAATAACGTTTTAAATTTTACTTTGAAATTAATCTGATGACTAATAATAACTCTCCAAATTTAACAGGAAAAATAGGTCTTCTAAGGGTTTGTTTGTGGTGACTTTTCAAAAGTGTTTTTATGACTTATGACTTCTCATAAATACTTAAAAAAAATAGTATTTATAATAACTTATTTTAATTACTTTCAAATAAGTCAAAAGTAGCTTAACACTTAAATAATAAGTAAAATAAAAAAAATAATAATAATTTCTAGTTCTTTAAAATCCCTTCTCTACAAAACACTTTACTACCACCGTCGCCGCCACCCCATCACCGCCACCCACCATCACCACCACTGCCGCCCCCCACCACCACCCATCATCATCCTCATCATTATTTTATTTTTATATTTATTACCACTACTACTATCATCTCACTGCCACCACTCATCACCATTATCGTTGCCCACCACCACCTACTACCACCCAGTGCCACTCACTAGCACAACCCACCACAATTCGTCGTTGCCTACCCCTACTACATCTACCACTACCACCGTCATTCGCCGCCGCCACCACCATCGCCACTATCGTCACCACTCACCACCACAACCCATTATCGCCACCATTACTATTGTCGCCTCACCACCACCACTACCACCATTGACGTCGCCATGCCACTATCACCATTGTCATCCGAAAACCACCACCACCATGATCATCACCACCCATGGCTGCGACATGGTCATTGCTACACACCACAACTATCACCATCTCTCACCACCACCACCATGATCATCACCACCCATGGCTGTGACATGGTCATTGCCACCCACCACAACTATCACCGTCTCTCACCACCACCACTATCACTCACAATTACTACCATTGCTCACCTCCACTACAACTAGTGCTTAAATTCTTTTCTCTATTTGTGATTTGATTTTAGGTGTGAATACAAATATATTTATGATTGACAATTTTTTTTATTACTCCGTACCTTCAGGTACGAGCAATAACTAGTCATACAATATTAGATCAAGAAATAAACACAAAAGGAAACATAAGAAATTTTCTTCATTTTACACCAATTAAGGTTTGGTTGGGTGAAAAAAATTCAAATATTCCTATTTCATGCTACTTTAATGCGTCTATTAACCGTATTAACAAATTCAATTATTTTTAGATTCGTATCTAAGATTTGTTAGTTGTAACCCGCTAATTAGCTATTTGGGCTTAAAGGCCAAAAAAGATATAAGATTTAGACCATCATGAATACAGCTCATGCCCATTTCAAATAATCTTGCTATTTATTGAGGTTTATAATCTATACTTTATAATATAAAATAAGATATGTTTCAATAATATTACACGACGATCTCAAATAAATTTATCTAACGACTAGTAATATCTCTCTCAAAACTAATCATATTAAATTTTACCTTCCTCTCCTCACTTTTCACACTCTCTCTCTAATTTTCACTCTAGTACCTTCAAGCACAGGTTATCCCTAATCTATATAATAAAGTAGTCAAATTTTTTTATCTTTAACTTTTCGCTGCTCAGATCATTTCAAGACGATCCAACGATCCTAATTGGACTTTATTCTAATACTAACACTCTCTCCTATCTCTTAGACATTTTAAATACACACTATCTCATTTTCTCTCTCTATATATCTCGCATCTCTTCTAAACACACACACACACACACACATATATAGATATCTCTCATATAATTTTCTCTCTCTCTCTCTCTCTCTCCTGTCTCTTTTAACTCGAACACTCTTATCTCTCATATAATTCTCTCTCCTAACTTTTAGACGTTTTAAGTACACACTCTCTCATCTCCCCCCTCTCATCTCCTCTCTCTCAATCTTATATCTCTTTAAACACACTCTATATATCTCTCATATATAATTTTTTTATCTTTTTCTCTCCTATCTCTTACAAGTTTTAAATTTGATTTTTATTTTAAACACACATTATCCCATATGTCTTTTTATTATTTGAATGTGGATGAATTAAAAAAAATATTTGTATATTTTTAGAAAATGAGAAAACATCTAAATATAATTTTTTTTTATAGGATGTATACATTCTTTTGGAAGCGAATAGAATTTTGTTAGTATTTGTTTATTTTTTCTTGAGGTATTTATTACGTGAGGTGGATTGCAAATTTAGTGATTGAGTTTATAATTATATTGTGTTATTGAGTTGAATGGTGACAACAGTGATAAATTCATACGTCTTATAAATGTGTAAGATTTTATTTGTTGCTTAAAAATTATAAATTATATTAGGTTCCGTT